ACCTGAAAAAAAAAAAATAAAACAGTTGAAGGTAGGAAAAAAAAAAAAAAAAAAGTCAACTTAAGAAAGGTCTTTGTGAGTTGTTCAGTACTAACATTTTATTTTTCCATTTTAAATGTCATGGTATGTACTACGGTTCCTGTCTACGCCACTAACGCCTTAGGCCACACATTGTCTGGTACATAAACGCATGCATTGTAAATGTTATGCCAGCCCAGTCATTTTTAAAGGGTCGACAACATCGAACACATAACTGCCCCTGACCCCTTTTCAGGAATGCGATTAATGGCAATGCACAGCTTTTTTGTAAGGTTACAGAAGCAGTGCCAAACTTGAGTTAGAATAAAAACATTTTGGAGAAAAAAAAATTAGATGTGTAAAAATAGGAGAAATTTAAGGGAAAAATAGAAATCACTGTGATAATAATGTGGTAAAACATAGTGAAATATCATATTACAAATAGCTGCAGTTCTTAATAGGTATGCAGAAAGGCTAACAAAATCAACAAAACTACAGGTTCATCCCTTTTTATAAATAGGTCACAATTGCAGACTTTTAACCTCTTCCCATCTGTAATCTGTAAATCAATCTTACTTTGCCCTGTGCAGAGGGAACATTATTTTACTTTTTCTTTTCTTTTTTGAAAAATCTTTTTATTCATTTTGCATAGTAAACAATTACATTACAGTAACATTCGGGCACCAACATAGCACCCCATTCATACGCAACAGTGTATACATTACGGCATAACGTATGCCAACAACCGTAAAGGACCATGCAAGGTCCAATAACTAACCCTCTGACCATAACCAATTTTACTTTTTCACTATGACATCTAGCAGCTGACACTGTGCTGGGCTGTTAACTGTCAGACCGAGCTGTCACTGACCAAATAGTGTGGTTTCCAATCACATGACTTAAATTTATTGTCAAGTTAAACAGTCTATACCGACACAACTAAATTTGGTCTTGACTTGTAGGCAGCAATGACTGCTGGTCATGAAAGGGTTAATGACGCTGGGCAGGATTTCATTTTCATCACTTATAGCATTCAAAATATAAACGTCATTGTGATATGAGAACCTGCGGTTGAAAGAGGGGGTGTACTATGATTAATATTATCTAAACAATTATGATTAGTCATGTTGTAAAGTTCACATAGGCATGTCATTGTGTGTTTCTGGGCATGCATTGGGTTTAATGTGCACCCATGGGTAAAAAAGCTTTTCTAGCGTATTGAAAGGCAGTGGAGGTGTTCCCTATTACTTGTATCGGGGTGCGCTGAGGGGCAGGTACATTTGTTTTCTCCATGAATTACATTTTGGGGTGCAACACAAAATGAATGGTAAAGCACCCTGATGTGCATAAACAGCACGTTAATGCGTACACAAACAAGTGCACTGAAATGTAAATGTGGCCTGAAAGCGCAAAATAAATATGTTTTTTTTTAATGAAGTCTATTTATGTGCATAGAGAAACATGAGAAGATAAAATGGTGTGAATGTATCGCCAAAAGTAATGTGTCCTTTCAAGTTATTGGAAAAAGCAACGCTTTCACAGAGCAGGTAAAAGCTGTCCAATAAAATATGACACGTCTGGCAAGTATATAAAAGCTAAGTCATTTGGTGCAGAAAATCTATATCTAATATACTTTGTAACATCAAATAAGACAGATACAATTAACAAACACCTTTTAGGAAGTTATCATGGTCTACAGTTGTCAAATAGAAGTCTCCATCAGTTTAAAAATGTCCTATGATACAAGACCTATTATATTACATAAACTGCAAAATGGGCACATGATGCTCTTCCAACAAGTCACATTATTCCACATGCATCTGTACAAGAAACAACCGCTGATGCATTTCTGTCTTACTCAGCCTTAGCCATAGCTGGTTGTGAACCAGCACCAACCCCATTAAAGTAGCACACCAAATAGGGCAGACTAAGACACACTTAGCAACACCTGTATCCACTAAACAATCCGTGTAATCACATTAAAACCAAAAAGAGGAAAAACGGAGAATGCATCAGCATGTTTGCAGGATCCTCTCTCAAGCCCAACGTACCTCTGTTCCTCAGATCACTGAAGACGAGTGGCAGTGGCTGTATCAGTGATGCTTTTAGGTTGTTTTCCCAACCACAGCATACAGGCCCAGCTGCAGTCAACAGTCACAGGCAGAACCTAAACCATATGACTGCAGATCACAATAAAACTTGACTAGTCTCCCCCTCTTAAATTGTGGCCTAGTAAAACAGCTTACATACCATGCAGCAAGTGTGTTCAATATTTGTGGCTGTGGTCTCAGAAATAATACACTCTAATTTTTATTTCCCCAAAAAACTGCCTGGTCTTCCCCTTTTAAACTGCTGCCTACTAAAGCTGCTTATATAATGTGCATCAAATCTGTACAATATTTGTCTTTTTCTGTCAAATAATACTCAAATTTCGATTTCTTGTTTAAAACCTGTCTGGAGTCTCCTGAAATTGAGGCCTAGTAAACCTGCTTTTATACTGTGCATCAAATCTGTACAATATGTCTGTTTTTCTATGAAATAATACACTCTAATTTTGATTTCTTGATTTTTAAACCTGCCTGGTCTCTCCCTCTTAAACCGCAGCCTACTAAAGCAGATTATATAGTGTGCATTAAAAGAGAACTATGGGGTAACCTTTTTATCCCATAGTTCTCTTTAGGATCACAGGAGGACATATACTAACGTCCTCCCATGACCCAAAGCTCAGTATATAGCGAGCTGAGCTGGCCAATTCGTCCATTTCTACACTATGAAGCCTATAAAGAGCAGGCAGTACAGCTGATCCTGCTTACATGTGGACTGCTCTGATCGCATTCTCGGATGGACACAACTTAACTTAGCTGGATATTATTAAACACCATTTCCATCTTTGCTATTGTGATTTACTTGCAACGTAAGCTTTTGAAAACCTTAACGTCTGTTATGATGTGTGCTCTAAAACCTTCATTTTCAGTACATTTCTGCAGGACTGTGATATATTTGTCTAGTAGTACAACCCTGAAGGTTCATTTTACGAGTGTGAATTTTTCAGTAAGTAGAAAACATGGTCTTGCAGGTGCTCTTGTTTTATGGTGTTCCAGCTGAGCCTTATTATTCATCTGCTACATCTACCGATGTACTTCTGCAAACACCTGTGTACCCATGCTCGTTATCTGTCTCTTATATAAATTAGATACATGATTTTCTGATCAATTTATTGCCCCAGCTGTACACTTATTCAAAGTACAATTATTTTCCAGTCAGTGCCAACCTTTCTTCCAAGTTAAGAACAAATATGTACAAACGACTATATGATTAATTGTCTTAGCGTCTTCCACACATTTCAAACACCACTTTAGCTACTGAACTGGTGTTATTGAAGTGTTGGCCAAAAACATTTGTCTAAAATAGGTTGAAACTTATATTTCATTTATGTTTTGTGCAAAATGTCAATGCTGACCGTTATTACAAGACAATACTGCTATGGTGGCATAATTCTTTTTTTGTTATTTTTGCCATATTCCAGTGCTTGTTTGTTTTTTTCACCAGCTAGTTGAACACTTTTACACTTTACTCTCTTGTCACAAATTCCAACCAGCTAGTTGAACACTTTTACACTTTACTCTCTTGTCACAAATTCCAACCAGCTAGTTGAACACTTTTACACTTTACTCTCTTGTCACAAATTTCAATGGCTAACTCGTATAAAGTGGAGAACAAATAGGCAAGATTTGGCTATGATATTTATCAATTTGCTGCTTAAAGCATATCTAAACCTATGAACAAAAATGTAATATATTACAACTTACTAGCCCTAGATGTGATGGCTGAATTTGTTTCCCTTTTTTTTCACCCAGTGGTTCTACCAGTAACACATTTCTTGTCCTGGGGGGACAACATTCACTCACCGCACTGCATCTACAGAGGAGCAGCATTGTCACCCTAGGACATGGAGCGTGTCAGTGCAACTTACCTTCCTCGCTCCATTATCACCTCTGCCACCTCCTGCCTACAAAAGTATCCGGCACAGGTTACAAAGCTGCATCCTGCTGTTTTTAAGGCTGCAGCCAGTGGGATCTGCACTCCTTCCCTCATTCAGTCACACACCTAATATTCCTAGTTAAACTTGCACAATATTGCTGGTTTCTGGCCAAGCAATGCTATCACTCAGGTCTCCAATCCCCAGGTGTGCTCTTTCTTTCCACCATGAGCACATCCTATACCCACTTTCATGTACCTTCTTCTGGCTATACTAGTTGCTGCCCATACTGACCTTCTGGCTCCTTTCCTGGTCATCCTGTTTGCTCCCTGCCCCTGACCTACAACTTGTTCCTGGTTATCTGCCAGCGACTGACCTATAGCTAGTTACTGGTTTATGTGTCCATCATTCTGATCAGGAGATTGCTAACCGGTATCCTGTTTCCTCCTCAGCTTCTGGTCTGTGGTGCTTGAGCAGGGTACACCTGGGGGTCATGGCCTTGGGTCAGCCTATATTGTGGCCCATCACTCCCATAAGTGGGTCACTGGTGAATACTGACTGGCTCTTAGACTCCTTACCCTGGTTATCCCAATTCACCTGCTCTCACATGAGACTATTTTTGTGCTTTGGCCCAGTCCTGTTTCAGGTCCAGATCCAATGACAGTCAATGGTGCTTTCCTCAGCGCAAGTCCAGTCCCCTGAATCTACAGGCCCATGGTGTCTCGCCATATGTCGGCCTACTCTGATATGGCATGCCTGCAGTCTCCCTAGGCTATCCCACACAGTGTAGTTGTTGTGTCCACACCCCTGCAGGCCCCTTCATGACAAAGTGTGCTGGATAACAGAACATCTTTCCTTTTTTTTTTTTTTTTTATATCATAGGAGGTATTTTGCAGTTCATAAAGATATCTGGGAACAAGCATAGGCAAAGAAAATGTATCAGTTCACAGGTATTTTCACGCTTATTGAACATGTATACCAAAAAGCTTTTAATTTATCAGATCAAAATTATTTTTATATGTATATTATATATTATTATCTAGTTGAGGTTGACTAAAAAGAGAATAGTTTAGAGAATATTTAGGGGATAGTTTTGTGTAGTACTTTTTCATTCAGTTTTTTTGTTCCTGTAAAAAACATAACATAATGAGGCTAAGGAGGTTCTGTTTTGGCACAATAAAGTCTTAGATCAAAAGGACAGAATCAAAAATAGCCTACACAACAGGGTTTAAAGGGTTTGACAAACTGAGGGGTTAAATATTGGAGAAGAGGTTAGAAAGGAGGTATTTACTGATTTGGCTGGAGTGAAGAGGCAGCAGTGGGTTTAGGGATAGTCCAAAAGGAGAAGTGAAGCAGTCCTTAGTCAGAGGCTAGATGTTATTAGGTTAACTTCCAGCCACTCCTATTAGAAGATTAAATGAATTGATTATTTGTTTTACAAGTCGGCATACTATAAATTATGGTTAACTAGGTCTTCCTGGTTTTACTTTGTCATATTGTTATCCAAATTTAAATGCAGCCTTCCATTCAGACTACAGTTCCCTGTCAGATGTTCACACATCTATTTGGGAAAGTGACAACATTTCTGATTGAGAATACTTTTTCTGGTATTTCTTTATTTCCTAATTCAGCCAGTGATTTGCAAGTCACCTATTCCAGCTAGTCATTTATCTACATAAAAGACCTAAAGTAAAGATTTGCTATTTAATAGAGAACATCTAGAAATGGTAATTGTGCTTTTTTGTGTGTTCATTTTGTCTTGTATTCCTTCTAGAAATACCAGTGCAATTTAACTTATGTGCCCAATCTTTTGTTATATATCAAGCGGAAGAAGAAAAAGAATATACAAAGAGGATAGAATGGGAAATTCAAGAAATTTGTAAAAAAAAAATGTAAAACTTTAAAGTCAAGAAATGTATTACAGATTCAGGAATTAAATAACCTCTTGCCGTCCGCCCGTAGTAGAAAAACGGACGGACGGCACTGTCGCATTGGCGGGTTGCCGTCGCCAGACGGCATTTTTTTTCTGCTCGCGCGCGCCCAGATGGGAAGGGGGTTTAACACCGCGGATGTCAACTGGTTAAATAGGTAGAATAGATCAATAGGAATTTGGTCCTAAAGGGGCAAAGTAATTTTGAAAGGCACATAATACAAGCATATCATTTTTAGAAAGCATACAAGTTGGGAAGCAAACAAGAACACTTTTAGGCACAAAGGAGAAGGTTAGTTTATGATTTACATAAGGAGTTGGACACAGATAGTTCCTTGTCTGAGACAGTATCATCACACATTTCAAACAAAACAAAAAAGGTAATGTAACTAAAAAAAATCCACATATGGGCAGACATTGATTCCTGTCCCCCAGGGCAGTACCTGAATCCCCATGCACTTTTAATGGCCAATAAATAGCATATAAGGCTTCAAAATGGGGACATTTGATTTTTAAAGTTCTACCCCCATAGACTTACATTGAGTTTGAGTTCGAATTGAAACTTTTCCCATGTTCGGCTCATCACTTTTAGCAAGCCTGAAAGGAGTTATTAGCACCAATGCACAGGAATATCCTAAAGTATTTTCTCCTATTTTGGAATTGTATGTATTACCCAAAGTGCATA